TGGCTCTTCTCCTGCTGCTGCTGCAGCTGCAGCAGCAGCAGCCGCTGCAGCAGCACATCACATTCAAGAGCTCCTAGCTCCCCCTGTTTGCTGCAGACGAGTAGGATGGGCAGCGGTGTAACACGCTGCTGCTGCTGCTGTTTCTCTGCTGCAACAGCAACTGCTGCTGCTGCTTCTGCTGCTGCAGTAGCAGCAGCATCTACCACTGCAGCAAAGGCAGCAGCAGCCTCGGGCAGCCTTGCAGTGTCTGTACTGTCAACAAGGAAGCAGCAAACATCTGCGTCTTTTATATATTCTCCCCATACACAATGAAAGGGTTTGCTGCCGCCCATGTCCCACAGCAGCAGCTGCTGCTGCTGCTGTTGCTGCTGCTGCTGCACCTTATACACCGTAAATCCTTTTGTTGGATGCACCACCGGCAACTCACCACTACTAGTAGTGCTGCTGCTGTTGCTGCTGTCGCCGTTGCTGCTGCTGCTGCTGCTGCTGCTGCTGCTGCTGCTGCTCTGGGAGTGCAGCAGCAGCGCTAATGTCGTCTTCCCGCTGCCATCAAGACCCAGCAGCAGCACACGCACTTGCTGCTGCTGCTTCAGCCACCGCAGGACTCCTGAAGCTAGAGAAAACATGGTTGAATTGCTGCAGCAGCAGCAGCAACAACAGCAACAGCAGCAACACAAACACGGAGGGGTCGCCAGACCCCTATCCGCATCCTCAAGGTGCCCCTGAGCAACAGCTGGTTGTTTCCAATTCTCTGCCTCTGCTGCTGCTGCTGCTTCTGCTGCTGCTTCTTCTGAAGGAGAAGTTGTGCTGCAGCTGCGACTAGAACACGACTTCCGTTGCTGTTGCTCGTGTTGCCGCTGCTGTTGTTGCTGCTGCTGTTCTTGCTGCTGCTGCTCACTATAATGCATGCCACAAGAAAAGCTTAAGGCGTCTAACGCTACCCCTTAGAGACGAACAAGGGAGAGGCTTCGGCTGCTGCTAGTACAGCTGCAGCGGAGGCGGCAGCAGCAGCAGCAACAGTAGCAACAACCGCAAAGACGGGACCCCCACGTGTAACAAATAATCCAAGTGTGTGACTAATAAAGATAAAATAATCTTAAGCTCTGTGTTTAGCTGTTTATGGTGAGACAGGGAGGCCGCCGCTGCTGCTGCTGCTGCAGCCAGCCTCTCTGTTTGGCTGGGGGCCCCGGCGTCGCTGCCGCTGCTGCTGCTGTTGCTGGGGAGCTGTACAGACGGGAGTTACTTGTAAAAAGGAATGTTAAGGAATTCAACGTCTTCTTCTTTTCTTTCTTGGCTTGCCGTTGTCTCTTGTAGCCCAGCAGACCATAGTGCATCAGCAGCAGCAGCAGTAGCAGCAGGAGTGGCGGCGGCAGCCAGACCTGCAGCAGAAGCAGCAGCAGCAACAGCAGCAGCAGCAACAGCCGTAGAAGCGGACCCACTTAGTATTAAACCGCTTAATAAGGAACGCAGCAGCTAAGGCCTGCTGCAACTGCCACAAGTTGCAGTTTGCAGCAGCAGCTGCTGCAGCAGAAGCAGCAACAGTAGCAGCACCACCTCCTGCAGCACGTTTGGAAGGGAACGTACAGCCAGCAGCAGCAGAAACAGCAGCAAAAACAACAAAAATAGCAGCAGGAAAATGGCGAAGTCAATGCTAGATATGACTCTCGGTAGGACAGCATGCAAGCAGGCCCCTCTTGCTGCTGCTGCTGCTCCTGCCGTCGTTGCTGTTGCGTTTAGGTTTACTTCTCCCTGTGGGCGTTTCCTATGTCCAATGCCAGTATCAGCAGCAGCAGCAGGTGCTGCAGCCGCAGCAGGAGATGCCGCCCTCGCCTGGAGCAGCAGCACCAGCAACAGCAAAAGCAGCAGCAGCAGCAGCAGCAGCAGCAGCAGCTTTTGCTGTCATGTATGTTTGTCTCAGATGATATTGTGGAGGCGGAGAGGAGAGAGAGAAGGATGGAGAGGAGAGACGGACCAATCCGCAGAGGAGGTTACATGGTATGCCACATATTGCTGGTTCTGCTGCTGCTGCAGCATTTGCTGTAGCAGCTGCTGCTGTTGATGATGCTGTTGCTGCAGTATTGGTACAGTATTTTGCAGGATATCTCTATCTATCCGTCTTTTGCTGCAGCAGGAGGTACTAGCCAAGTTATGTATCGGTAGTAGTACCTGTGTCCGCACAGACGTCTTCTGCTGCTGCTGCTACATTTGTTGTTGCTGCTGCTGCATTTGCTGCTGCTGCAGCGTGGTGAGGGGGGTTACCGCGGAGGCCGTGGTGGAGGTTGGAACGGTCCTTATCGTTCATATGGTCGTGAGGGTACATGGGGCCCCACACCCGGTCGTACCCGAGGAGGAGGGTATGGGGGGCCCTCTCCTTATGGCAGGAGTGGCCCATATAGTACGGGAGGAGGAGGAGGAGGAATGAACCATTGGTCTTCTAACTCATCCTCATCATATGGTGGAGGTGGGGGTCCCAATTCCTCAGGGGTCCACTGGTCATGGTCCAATGGACCACGAGGCGGCAGCAGCACAGCAATTGTAAGAATAAGCGGACTCGACTATTCAGTGTTGGATTCGGAATTAAGAGAATTGATGGAAAAAAGTTGCGAAGGAATTCTTAAGGTTTGGATTGACTACGATAAGACGGATAGGAGTAGGGTAAGTAAATAATTTACTATATTATTTCTTCTCTTTATTCTCTTTATTCTTTTTATTCTTTTTTTTTCCTTCTCTTCCCTTTATTCTTCTCTTTTTTTCTTTTTTTTCTCCTTTTTGTTGTTACTTTTTGTGTTATTTCTTAATATTGTTGTTGTGGAATTCTCAAAGTTTGGATTGAACATGGTGGACGCCATGTTCGTCAATATTCATATTTATTCATTTTCCTCTTTTTCCTCGTTTTTCATCCTTGTGTTTCCTTACTCCGTATTATCCCTACTATTATTATCGTCATCCTTATTATGCTTATGCTGCTGTTGCTGCTGTACTGATGATAATGTTGCTCTTACTGCATGTCCTGCTGCTGCTGCCTTTGCTGCTGCTGCCTTTGCTGCTGCTGCTGCTCAGGGTACTGGTGGTTGTGTCTTTAGGACATTAGCCGATGCCCAAAGAGCAGTAGAGACTTTTGATGGTCGTCGTATAGAGGGTAAACCCTTAAGGCTTGAATTACAGCGACCGAGGGGGCCCCCGGGGGGCCCTCCCAACTCTTGGGGGCAGTCACAGGGACAGGGGCCCTCTTCTTGGGGACAGGGGCCCCCAAGAGGGGGAGACAGGGGGTACAATAGATGGTAAATTTAGCGAAAGGGCCGACGTTTTGGGGGCCCCATCAGAGAGGCCCCTAAGCAAAGCAACAAACAAAGGGGTTCCCCGGAAAGCATAGAAGGGGGGCCCTTGAGGAAGGCAATAACTATACGGGGCCCCCTAGGAGCATTCAAGGGGGCCCGAAGGAAAGAAACAACTACATGGGGGCCCGTAGAAACATTGGTTGGGCCCCCCGGCAGTAGCTATAAGTGCTGCAATTGCATGTTGGCATGTTGGGTATTTTGCTGTCTCCTTCTCTCTCTCCTCCGGTGTATAAAGGAGGAAGGGAGGGGGGTGGGGGCCCTCCTCACAATGCTTTTGGGGGGGGGGCCGCCTCACTTTGTTGTTGGGGGGGCACCTACCTATCATTATTAAAGGGGCCCCTTAACCGTCTAATAATGATGAAGGGAGAGGGAGTCCTTAACCGTCTGAAAAATATTGTGGGGCCCCATATACTGCGATTAGGGGGGAGGGGGCTTCCAGCGGTCCCCTTATTTTCTGGGGCCCTCACTTGTTTACCTGGGACCCCCATTAAAGGGGCCCCCTGTGGGGCTGTTGCTGCTGCTGCAGCTGCATCTTGAATGCGTTGCCTCACGGACTGTATACTTACATCTGAGGGAACAGAGGAAGACCTCTGCTGCTGCTATGCACCAGGAGGAGTTGCTGCTGCTGCTGCAGTTTTTGCATAACTGCAGCTGCAGCAGAAAGTGCAGCAGAAGCTGCTGCTGCTGCTCCACTTGCTGCTGTTTGAAACAACCCAAGCCGTAGGGTGGCCCCAAGAGGGAGCGAGCTGCAGCAGCACCACCACCACCAGCAGCAGGCGAGGTCGCTTCTCCTGCTTCTGCTGTGTCATTTGCAGCATCATTGTTGCTGCAGCAGCAGAACCAGCTGTTGTTGCTGCTGCTGCTCCTCATCTTTCGTAAAGACCTTTCCCCCAACGGCCGGAGTAGTAAATACTACGCTTCTATGGTTTAGGGTTTAGGGTTTAGGGTTTGCAAGCGGGCGGCAGGGCGGCAGTTAGGGTCGCAGCAGCCGCTGTGCAAACGCCGCAAGGTCTAACGAGAGAGCAACAGTGGGGACCCTGAGGGACCCCTTGTAGGGGGTCGCATGGGACCCGTTAGACAGATGGGGGCCCCTTTCTGTTTGAATCTGTTTAAAGCCAAGACTTTCAAGGAATTTGCATGCAAGGAGGGGCACGACGCATGTCACCTGTTGCTGTTGCTGCTGCTTCTGCTGGTTGTGCATAGTGAGCATGCATGCACTGAAGAAGGCCTCTGCAACTCCTTTCCTTCTTTCTTTTGGGTCAACAAAGAGGCGAGTTATTTTTATAGAGGAGTTTTCATTGTGTTGTTTGTATGCTAAGTACCCTATTAACCTGCTTGAGGGGACAGCCTGCTGTTGCTGCTGCTGCTGCTGTGGCAGCATCGGCAGCGGCAGCGACTGCAGCAGCAGCATGTATCTATGAGCTGCTGCTTCTTCAGAGGCCCAAGGCCAAATGGCCTCCCTCTCTGCTGCAGTTAAGCAGCAGATTGCTGCATCGGACATCTCTAGCTGCTCTAGTTGCTGCACCGTCTCCTTCCACTCCCCTGCTGCTGCTGTTGTTGCTGCCGGGGTGGGTGGTGGCGCTCTTTGCAGCAGCCGCAGCGACAGCGACCGCAGCATCACCACACATGGGGCTGCATGCAGCGGCAGTACAGGAGCAGCAGGATCGGGTACTGCCTCAGGGCTATTAGGGGTGTATGGCAGCAAGTCTCCGTATCTGCAAACAGCAGCAGCAGCAGCAAACCATTTGCTGTGTATATTCAGATGTATACACCTGCATGCATGCATGCATTCAACTCACTGGCACAGCCCCATGGGCCTGCGGTTTAAATGTGTAAATAAACCGTAGAATTAAAACTAGAAAATGAAGATAAATGAATAAATAGAATAAATAAATAATAAATTAATAAATATACTAGTATTACTATTTCTTTAACCTACTGTTGAGTATCGGAGAGTACGAAGTTATCAACAATGAAGCAATCAGCAGCAGCAGCAAAAGCAACAGACACACAAACTTCATCATTACTAGGCAGCAGCAGCAATGGGGCCCCCGCTTTATTATTATCTGTTTTCTTCCTGTGAGGTCCCCCTGGGTTCAGGGGATATCCGTCTGTTTGTCTATTAAATGCTATATAACTTAATTCAATCCCCACTCTTGCTGCTGCTGCTGCTGCTGCTGCTTCCAGTGCAACGACATCTCTGCATCCTGAATTGTATAAAGCTTCCACCTGTACATACATCGCAGCAACAGCAACAATAGCAACAGCAACAATAGCACGAACAGCAGCACACCAGCAGCACCAGCAGCACCACCACCACCACCAGCAACTGCAGCAAAAGCAGTAGTAACAGCAGCAGCAGCAGCAGCAGCAGCATTAGCAATAACAGCTTACCTCTTTGAGTATAGTGGTAGCTTCTTGTGCGCGCATAATTTGTTGTTGATTGAGTCTTCTATTACGCGATGATAAAGGAAGAAAAGAAGAATTACGTAAAGTAGGTAAAATAACAATTCGAGTGTCTAGGCAGCTACATTTAACTAAAGAACGTATGCATACAGTCTGTAAGAAATCCTTCTGACCAAAGTATGCAATAGTAGGACGAATTAATGAAAATAACTTTAATACCACCTGGCCCACACCTGCAGCAGCAGCAACAGCAACAGCAGCACCAGCAGCAGTTGTAGCAACAGCAGTAGTAGTAGTAGCAGTGACACAAAAGACAACACGAGCATACAGCAGCAATATCAAGAACAACGACAATAGATATACAACTGCATTCGCATTAATAGAAGACAGCGCAACAGCAGCAGCAACAACAACAGCAACCACAACAGCAGCAGCAGCCATATACTATACCTGAGAAGAATCCTGGTCTTCTTTTTCCTTCTCCTTCAACGTCCTCAACATCACCAAAATCAACCAGTAGATGCGCAAACGGCGCTCCCTTTGCGACATGTCCCACAGGTGTAGCATTATCCTCACCATTATCAGCACCATTAGCAGCAGCAGCAGCAGGTGGAGCAGCAGCAGCAGCATAATGAGGATATAATTCCGTAACATTAGGTAAGAATAATACATCTACAGCTCCACATTGTTGAAGAAGTTGAATATCTTGAATTATATCGATGGGATAAAAATTGAAATCTTTTTGATTCTGAAATTGTGTTGGATTGACAAAAATGGATACCCACAATTCATCGCATTCACGTCGTGCTGCATGCATTAACGAAATATGTCCATCATGTAGACCCCCCATTGTTGGTACAAAGCCTATACGTCGTCGGGGGCCAACTTGGATGGGGGGTGCCCTGCTGTTATTATGGGGGATGGAAGCCTCTAGAGGGGAGGCAGGATGATGATTACCCATAATCAGAGGGGAGTCGGGAATGGAAGGGGAGTGAGAAGAGGGGGAATCAGAGGGGGATACAATCGGAGGAGGGGCACCTAAGGGGGGCCCTTTGGCAGGGGATAATGATGCTGCTAACATTTGCTGGTGCTGCTGTTCCGCTGTTGCACCTAATATTACGTAGTCGTTTGTGTTGAAACCATCACGCAGTGGGCTGCTGCGGCTACGATGTACAGATACCTCTGTGCATGTACGGAGAATCAACAACTCGCGTTTTGAACTCGATGCAGAAGCAGCACCTGATGCTGCGGATGCTGAGGACGATGGTGAGGGGGGCGATGAGGATAAGGCAGCAGCAGCAGATGTTCGTGCTGCTGCTGCTGCTGCTGCAGCTGCTGCTGCTCTATTGGGAATACAATCCGGAGGCGCCATTCCCTAACAAAAGAGAAATCGGTCTACACCTCTTCTCTAAACCCGCTGTTTTTATTCTTTAGGCAAACACAAAATAAAATACAAGCTTTTATTTTCATATATTCAAGTTTACTCAACAAAAGAAGATACAAAGACCACGTTAGGCGGTGAGCGAGACAGCAAACTGAGGCCCCTCGCCACCATCAATCCCGCTGCTCGTTCTTTCAAGGTAAATGACGGGAAAACACAGAAATTATACCATTATACTCATTAAATTTAATATGTTATTCATTTTACCGGGTAATGTCCAAAAAACACCCTTATTTAGAGCTAGATGGGGCTCGGGCACACGCGCAGCCTGTCACGAATGGGGGCCCCTTTTCGTGGGGCCCCACAGACACTGCAATCACCATAGCTCATCGTTCTATTTAGTACACCAAAATATATGAATTACAAAGGACCATTTTGTTTCTTTTCATGATTTTGTTTATTCAACTGGCTGTATTTTGAATTATTAACACCGGGGGAATCTATATATACACCCCTTAACAATGCGCGTCGTGCCCGTTTCTATGTTTGTTCATTGCAACAGCACCTAACAGACTCTGTGCAGCGTTTAGGTAAATAGACAGCTAATTTATGTAAATTTTTAGATTTTATTATTATCAATTTGGCTAAAATTAACTCTATTTAAGTTAATTTAGTTCCTTTTCCCTTTCCCTGCTGCCTAGTGCTCAGAGTTCCATCCCCCGCTATTGGGAACGTCTGTACCCATGCGGGTTGCGCAGCTGCTGCTGCTGCTACTGCTGTTGCTGTTACTGTTGCTATTGTTGTTGTTGCTGCTGCCGCTGCTGCTGGTGCTGGTGCTAGATCTGGGAGTGCCCTTACGCGGGGTTCCCTGCTTGGATCTGGGCGTTCGTTGCGCTGCGGCCCCTGCTCCTGCTCCTGCTCCTGCTCCAGCTGCTGCTCCTGCACCTGTTGCTGTTTTGCTGTTTTGCTGCTGCCGCTGCACTGCTGAACCCAAAAGCGTTTTTAAGGCGACGGAATAATCCCTGCGCGTTCGTTGCTGCTGTTGCTGTTGCTGCCGTTGCTGCTGCTGCTCCGATAACTCCTGCTGGAGGGTTTTCTCCGCTGTATCTAACGCTTGTTGCTGTTGTTGTTGCTGCTGCTGCACCTCTTGCTGCTGTTGCTGCTGCTGAGTGTTCTGCATACGTCCGTTTGGTGCTGGTCTTTGCCAGGGTTTGCAAAGGGCTTTCACCTCTAGTGCTGAGCCCAATGCGTGTGGGGCCTTTTTAGTAAATGCTGCATGCAGCAGCAGCCCCGTTGAGTGTTTCTTTATTCTCTTTATAAAGCCCCCCATCACACCCTTCTTAGGAATTAACTCTGCTGCTGCGGCGGCGGCGGCGGCGGCTGTTGCTGTTGCTGGCGCCACATCTGACAACCGCTGCTCTTGCTGCTGACGCCGCTGTTGCACCTCCGTGTGTTGAGCCTGTTCACCTAGCTGCTGTTGCTGCTGCTGCTGCTGCTTTGTGCTATACGCGACTCCTGTTGCCTCTAGGGTGAACCCAGTCTTCTGCTCCGTGCTTGTTGTGGAAGCAGGAGCAGCAGCTGCTGCTGCTCCTGCTGCAGCGCTGCGCTTGTTGCCTTTGAGGCAGTTGGCCCTCCGAGTGTCTCTGTTGCTGACACTTCGGTGCCTCTGCTCCAAAGGCACGCCTTTTCTGCTGCTATTGCTGCTGCTGATACGGCGCAGGCGGCTACCGTTGTAGCTTTTGCAGCGGAAACGGCTGCTGCAGATTCGTCGCGTTGCACCTGTGGTGTTTTTGAGGGGGGCCCGTTGTATGTAGGTTCCCAGATGCATCTGCTGCTGATGCTGATGCTGTTGCTGCTGCTGTTGCTGCAGCTGCTGATGCTGCTGCTGCTGCTGCGGGATCTCTTTTGTTGGTTCTCTGTGCTCTCTCTCCTCTTTAATCGACTTCTTTGCTGTTGTACACGACGCAGCTATATTCACATCAACCTTAGAAAGCCTCCCTGCTGCTGCTACGGCTGCTGCTACTGCTGCTGGTGCTGCTGCTGCTGGTGGTGCCGCTGCTGGTGCTGCTGCTGCTGCTTCTGCTGTTGCTACTGTTGCTGGTGGTGCTGTCGCTGCTGCTGCTTGTTCCGTTGGTGCAGAGGCAGCATCAAGCTGCATGGAGATTTCTCCAAGCCTCTTGTCTATGCGCTGCAACTGCTGCAAGGCATCATCGGTGTGCCTGTAGAGAACAAGTCGTAGACCCTAAACCCTAAACCCTGAACCATAAATCTTGTGCTTCTCTCACTCCAAGGGTTTAGAAGTATATATAATTGAGGCGTATAGATTAGGATTGAATACGTCTAGGGTCTAAATGGGGTTGCATGCGTCTAGTTTAGGGTTTAGGGTTTAGGGTTTAGGGTTGCATACACAAAGGCAGGCCCATTCTCCCGAGCAGCAGCTGCTGCAGCGTATGCCTCCAGCGAGGCGCATGCAGCGGAGCAGCGTTCTGCTGCTGGTGGTGTTGCTGCTGCTATATCTGCTTCAGTTGTATGCTGCGCTTCCCCTGTTGTTAGTGACTGCGCTCCTGTGGCAGGCTGTCCTGCTGGTGGTGTTGCTGCTGCTGCTGCTGCTGCATGTTGCGATCTCTGTAGTGCTGAGCGCGAAGCCTTTGCAGTGTCCGTCTCCCTCTGCCTCCTTTTGCGTTTTGCTACGATTATCCAGGGCTCAGTGTCTGCTGCCTTTGCTGGTGCATCCGTGGCTGCTGCTGCTGCTGCCCGTGTTGCATCGGCTGTTCCCGCTGTGCCTGCGGCGTTGGCTTCATCGCCAGCTGCTGCTGCTGCACCTCCTTTTGCTGCTGTTGCTGACCCTGAGGCTGCGGGTTGTTGCCCCTCCTGCTGCTCGCCAGTGGGACTACTACACGAAGCGGCAACCGCAGCAGCAGCAGAAGCAGCAGCAGCAGCTTTTTGTAGGCGTTTTCTTAGGTTTGTCGGGACCCTGTTAAGGCTTTCGCTGTCTGCTGCTCCCTTAAGCCGCCGCACCCGCTGCTGCAGCAACGCAGCAGAGCCGCAGCACAAAGGGTCTTGTGACAGCAGCAACTCCAGCTCGGGGTCTAGTGTCTTCTGCAGCAGGGGAGCACAAATGCCTGCTGGCCCTTGCAGTTGCTGCTCCTCCCCCTTCGCTTCCTGCTGCTGCTGTTTCTGCGCCTCTCCAGAAGATGCCGAGGTTGCTGCTACTGCTCCAGTTTCTGCTTCTGTTCCTTTGTCTCCTGCTGAAGTTCCTTCAGCAGCCTCAGCTGAGTCCAAGAAATGAACAATCCCTTTGAACTGCGCTCTGCAACAGGAACAACAACAGCAGCAGCAGCACTAGCAGCAATAACTACAACTGCAGCAACTGCAACGGCAACAGCAACTACAGCAATTGCATCAACCATGCTGCCTTCCGTCAGCTGGGCCAACAACTGCAGCAGCAACGACAGCAGCAGCAGCCAGCAGCAGTAACAGCCAGGAGCAGTAGCAGCGAGGAGCAGTAGCAGCCAGCAGCAGCAGCAGCCAGCAGCAGCAGCAGCCAACACAGAACCTGAGTTGTTGTCTAGAAGCAGCAATTGATGTTTCGAGCTCCTGCAGTCTCCGTTCTGTCTCTTCGAGTTGCGCGTCGTAGGCCTCAACTTTGTCCCAACCCTGCAGCACTTGCTGCAGCTCCTCCAGCTGCTGCTGCACGTCCTGCTGCTGCAGCAGACCTCCCATCTGCAGCAGCTGCTGCTGCTCCCGCACCAGCAACTCGCGCACTAACCTGTTCGCTTCCTGTTGCTCTGTAGCAGCAGGCGAGGCAAGGAAACATATGGCAGCAGCACCAACGACAGAAAAAGCAGCAGCAACAATAACCTCAGCGGCAGAAGCAGCAGGATTTGCAGCAAGTCCTCTTTTTGCTGCGTCGGCGGTCTGGGGCACAAGGGCCAACAGCAAGTCGCAACAACCCCATTCCAGAAGCAACAGCAGCAGCATCCTGCCCAACAGGAACAGCAGCAGCAGCGGCAGCAGCACCAATGTCCTCACTGTTTCTTGGTAAATGCCTTGATCGAGGAGAATATGCATCGCTCCATTCTAAGCGTGAGATCTTCGACTTTTTGATGGCTGCGACAGTGCCTGGCCCTTGTGCAGTTTGCTCTTGCTGCTGCTGTGGCTGCTGCTGTTGCTGTTGCTGTTGCTGTTGCTGAGGCCGTCTGGTGTGCAGCAGCTCGGGGGTGTCTGTACAGCTCGGGGGGCCCTGCGGCAGTTCGTCTTGAAAGTATGGAGCGAGGAAGGCGGGAATATAAATTCTTTTGTCTTCTTCCTCTGGATTAGTTAAACGAAAGACACCCTTCTCTGCTCCCCCCTCCTCACTGAATACTGCAGCACTGCATGCACAGGTGCAGCAGCAGCAGCAGCAGTTGCACTCAGAAGTTGCAGCACTAGCAGTGGCAGCTACCACACTAGTAGCAGTAGCTGCGACGCCAGCAATAATACTTACAGCAATAGCAGCGGCATTTACAGCCATTGCAGCAGCAGTTACGGCAACAGCAGCATCAGTTTAAGCACTAGCATCTACAGCAGCAGTACTATATGAAGGAGCAGCAGCAGGAACAGTTGCTGCTGCTGCAGCAACAGCAGCAGGGGCAGTAACACCAGCCGCAACAGCAGTAGCAGCAACAGCAGTAGCAGCAACAGCAGTAGCAGCAACAGCTTCTGGAGCAACCGCAACAAATAGGACACCTCCTGTCCAGCAGGCAAGGAGTGCAGTCTATTGGACCGCGGTGCTGCTGAAGCAGCAGCAGCAGCAACTTTGCAGTAAAAGCAGCAACAGCAGGAGCAGCACCAGCACCAGCATATAAGTAGCACCAGTGTCACAGCCGCGTGCATGCAGGATATGTGCAATGCTCTTGTTTCTGTTGCTGCTTGTTCCTACAGCTTTTGCTGCTTCTCCGGCAGCAAAGTCAGCAGCAGTTTGGAACCATGGTGTTGCTGCAGCATCGCGTCAGCATCCTTTGTCTGCGTCTGCAGCAGCTGGAGTTGGAACTCAGAAGCAGCAGAGGACTGCTCCTGTTGCAGCAGACTGTCGTTGCAGCTGCTGCTGCTGCTGCTGCTGCTTGTTCTACTGCTGCTGGTGCCACTGCTGCTGGAAAGAGCCCCTATGCTGTCCCTATCTTCTCCTGACCTATTGCCCTCCAGCGGCAGCTGCAGCTTAACGTGGGGCCCCCTGTGTCGGTGGAGGTGCCCCCGCAGGACAGCATTTTCACCCTTTCTTACTTTATCTTCAAGTTCGTCTGATGAGCCTTCTGCTGCCGAACCAGCACTTTCGCTCAAACTCGAATCAGGATCATCATCATCAGCGGCTGCTGCTGTTGCTGCATCCTGTCCTGCTTCGATTGTTTCTGCTGCTGCAACAGCAGCAGACGGCCTTTCTTCCTCCATGCTCGGCGCTGTCGTCGCTGCTGAGCTTCTCGGGGGATCCGCAGATGGATTGACAGGTCTGTAGCAGGCAGATGGGTTTCCTTTTTGATTTTAATCCGTTTTTTTTTTTCAGGTGTCCAAACACTTCACCAGCTACGGTGCTGCTTGCTAGGCACAAGAGAGCCTCAATTGCGCTTAACTGACCACTAATGTGTTCATTAATAAGAAAGTATTACTGTGCTTAACAGAAAAACTGGGTTCCCTTTCAGCATAAGATAGAGCTTCTGGCCTCCAATGCAGGAGCAGGGGGACGAGGAGCAGCAGGAAGAGCAGCTGCTGCTGCAGCAACAGAAGGTGAGGGGGTCTGCAGCAGCTGGAGCAGCAATGAATTCTAAACCTTCGATAGCTTCTGGTGTTCATTCGGCTTGTTGTAGTTCAAGGGGCTCCAATACAACAATTAGCTGCTGATAGAGCTTGACTGCCTTTCATGTGCATGTTGAAGTGCAGCCACTCCTCGTCACAGCCTCCTCCGCAGTAAACCCTATGCCTGAACCCCTAGTCGTAAACCTTCGGAAGCAAGACAATCTAGGTTCCCCCCGTGTTTGCAGGTCTTAGGGCTTCGAGTTTAGGGTTTAGGCTTTAAGGTTTGTTTTACTGCTCTGTGCACCGCGTTTCTCTGCCTCCCGATCTGTTTCCTCAACAAGGTATCCCTCGTAGCATTCCTCTTTTTTAGTGTATACAGAGGCAAACACAAAGGAAGAAGGGGAATGGTGTCTATTAGCATATTTTTAGAGTCAGGTAATCTCCAAGTTGCAGATCGGCCTCTACATAGACTCTGTCCTTACGCAAAAGAAGTGTGGAAGGGGGGGTGTTAGTAGGGCTCTTTCGGTTGGATACCGAGGCCTCTTGTGGGCCCCTAAGGACGTTTCTTTCTAAATTACATTGCAATAAATGCAGATGATTAAGTTCGTCTAAGAGAAAAGGTCTTAGTTCTACTTCTTTAGAGACAGGAACGAACGGAAGCAGGACGGTGCCCGCCATCCACAAGGAAGCTCGCGGTGTTCCGTCTGTTCTGCCTGTTTTAGCCTCCAAGATCAATTACTTCTGAGCATTTTTCTCTCGATTTTTTTTTTCAAATTAAAAAGTCAGTTACATTAATTTAAGTTGGCTTTTCTCTGCGAAACGAAAACTAGGGCCAACACATTCAAGGGATCGAACGACAAGCCTCCATTGCAGGTGACCTTCTTGAATTGAATTTTCATTGTTTTCTCCCCCTGTCTGTTGAAATAATACAACATTGGACTATATGAACAAATGGGATTTGTTGAAATCCCATTAAAGTTGGTACTGTTTGTATAAGCGTGCACAGTTGCGCTAAACACTGCTATTCAACTCAACCGACAGACGCAACACGCATTGGGGGGTGCTCAAGGGGTACGAAGTGTAGACTCAGGCAGGTTCGTTTGGTAGCCAGACATCTAAGAAGAAGAGAACGAAAGAACTCACAAACTTTCTGCGGAGAAATCGGACTAAGCAAATCACCCTGGCATGTAGGGGCCGATTTGCTGTTGTGCGGGCGCAACGCCCAGTTTACGCAGTCCTGAGCTAACACCTGCAGTAACTGAAAGCCTAAATTAAGCATTGCAGTGCCGTGGCATGTCACTGCCGTTGAGGGCACCAGCTGTCATTCCAAAAGAAAGCGGCTTTACCTCCTCCTCCCCCGCTGGTATAGTCCCTGCAGCTGTGTACCAAGGGCAAGAACAACGGCAGCTGCTGTTGCACAGGCCACTGTAAACAACTTTATTTTCTGCGTGTGTGTGCCTGTTGTTATTAATTCTGCTTGCCTGCTTCTTCGTCTGCCTTTGCTGTGTGTGTGTGTGTGTGTGTGTGTGTGTGTGTGTGTGTGTGTGTGTGTGTGTGTTTGTGTGTGTGTGTGTTGTTCCACTGCAGAGCTTTTGAGTTGTCAGGTCTGCTTTCTGTTCATTTAAGTGTGTTTCCTCCTTGATCCTCCTTATGTAATTTATCGGCTAGTCTATCTCTACGATAAATGACGAGGTTCTTAGTAAAACTGTCTTCCTTGCAAAACTAGTGTAGTACATCCGCTCACGATCCTAGCTAGTTTCTTATTCTCTCCTCGGTGCTGTTTGTCTTAAGTTCGTTCTTAAAGAGAACGAAGCTCACCAAGAGGCGCCCAACGCTTGAGGAGCTTCTCTCTGTCTGCACTTCGATGAAGCAAATTAGAAAACAGATGTTTTATCTTCTTGCGAATCAAAAGAAGAACGAGAAAAAATGGTTGGAAAAGACGAAATCCCCTGGATCTGCGCTGCTGCTGCTGCAAGGCAGTCCTCCTGCATGCAGCCCCATTGCATGCAATCCAGTACCAGCTACAGCCCTAGCTGAGGAGAATACGGAGCCTACAGCAGCCACCAACTCTGCTTAGCCGCTTTCCTTCCAGCTCCTGACCACGGCGTCCCTCCTCACACCCCATAACTAGAAAACACCCCTTGCTTGCCTGCAAATCCATGTCGCCCCAGTACCTCCGTTGCATTAAAGCTAACAATCAGCAAACAAGGAAACCAGCAAACACCAACTAATGCTGCTGTTGCATGCATCCAAAGCTGCTGCTCACTGCTTCCCTCTTCGATGGCCCCCGATTAGGCCAATATCGTTTCCCATAAACGCTAAACGCCAGCACGAGCTGCAGTTGTTACTGCTGCCGCAGGCCCTGCTGAGATGCCTCCGGAACTGCCGGTGCAACCACTTATACAGACGGCGCTGCAGCACTGCTGCTACCTGTACTGCCACGGTGTTCCTGTTCCTGCTGCAGCCTTTGTGCTACAGCTATGCTGCCATAGTTGCTGCTATACTCTGCTCAGTTTCTGCTACATTTGCTGCGACTGTAGCAGCACCTGTAGTAGTATTTACAGTCCCTGCTACAATTAACGCTATCGTTGTTGCTACTGTTGCTGCTCCCCCCGCGTTGCTCTGCAAGCCTACAAAACGGGATTCGAGCCTCTTCGACGTCATCATTCTAATAACAGGGACGTCCTCAGCAGCAACAATAGTTCATCGCTCCCCCATGCGAACCCAGTAGGCTGTAGACGGGTACTGTTGCTGCTCGTGCTGCTTCTAGTCTAGATGCTGCGGCTGTTTTTGTCCTAGCTGCTGTTCTAGCTGCTCTAGCTGCTGCCCCTGGTGCTGCGGCTGCTGCTGTAGCTGTAGCTGATTGCTGCTTCTGCTGGAGTCTGCGTGGAGCTCCTCCAGGTAGGCAAAGGACAGCTGACAACCACAGGAAGCTGCGCACCAGAATGGGAGGGCGCATGCGCCAACACACGGGGATATTGCTGCTGATGCTGCTCGTGACAGATATCCACTCTCCGCTGCAGCAGTGACACCCCCGGGCTTGCATGCAATCTCCATGTGCTGCAGTGGCTGCTTTTGTAGCAAGTCTCGCTCTACATAGTATATTACAAAATACATCTATAGGATATATGAAGGGGAGCGCAGCAAGTACCACCCTCCTCGGATGAGAGGCAGAGAAGAAACTGACGCTGCCAAATGCAAAACTGCAACGCCTCAGCGCTCTTTCTGCATTGATTTTTCTTTTCCCTTTGCAACCTGTCTTTCACCGTCAATCTGTCTTCCCCGCTTCAGCTTCTGGTGGGGGGGACCCCGCTGCGCCGTCGAGCCCCCCTCCCCTTGCGACTGCTGAACCCCCTTGCCCTGCGTCTGCAGCAGCAACAGACTGCTGCTTCGCTGTCAAACAGCCTGGGATTTATGTCATCCAGGAAAGGCAAACGCCAACGACATGATATGCGCGGGACCCAACAACGAGGGAGATCTAGGGTGCGCGAGGGCAGCAGGACTTCAAACAGGTCTGGGTGGAAGGCCCCTGCGCGGCTCGCAGCAGCAGCAGACGCAGCAACAGCACCATCTCACCCCCAAGAACAACTAACAAGACAGGGTAACACAAACAAGCGCTCAGATGACAGAAACTGTATTCATGCCCACATGCGCCAATGCAATTGCAACAACAGAAACAATGAAGTAAACAGGAAACGACTCAAGCCCACTGAAGTCACCAAACACAGCTCAGCGTGCAGGGGAAGGAAGTGTACAGGCGACGGCCTTACTGTGGGCTTACCGTACAGCACAATGCATAGGAGAAGAGCGACCCATGCAAGAAGGAGGTAAGCAATGAGACAGCCTGCGCCGTTCAAGCCTGTGAAGGCTCTAGGCAGGGTAGTGACGAGGTGTTCAACGGAGTCAAGCAGCAGCCACGGCGTAGCTATAAACTTAAACAGCCAACCCCACACCAACGGGATCGGCTTGCAGGGGTTCCCCGTCAAAGCCATGTTCAGGCTGCCTCTCAATATCTCGACGTTCCCGATGAAGGCCCAGTAGAGGTTGCTCTTCAGCAGGCGCAAGAACAGAAAAAAGGTACGGAGTGAAGTCCCTCGCCGCTGTTTGTGCTGCTTCTTTTCTACTTCCTCCTTGGCAAGCCCCTGATCTCTACCCTTAGCAGCTGCTGGCTGTAAGATGGTCTCCTTGGAAGACGGTGTCTTGCTGAGGCAAGGTTCTCGTGGGGTGCTCCCTGTTCCATCCCGGCATATCAGCGCAGCAGACCGCTCTAGAGACAAACTCTTGGACTGGACGAACAGATGTTCCTCCTTAGAAGTGCGCGCAGAGCCCCCATCAAAAGGCAAAGACGGCAGAGTGCGCGTGTGGAGGGAGAGGCTGCGGGCCCCCGAGCGGTGGAGGCCCCTGCGGCTGCCTCGAGCAGCAGAAGGACTGCTTCTGAAGCGCAGGGGAGACGGGCCTTTCTTGTGTGCTAATATACAGCGCAGGTCTCGCGCTGTCTGCACTGCGACGATGCAAAAGGTCAGGCAGACGAAGAAGAGCGGCAACAGCATCAAAAGAAAGACTGACGTCGACAGCTCCAAGCAGAAAAGGACTCGCAGAAGTGGCACAACCATTACAGAAACCGAGCTGCAACCCAACACCAGCAGTGGGAACACACCCACTCTCTCTGCCTGCTGCCGTGCCCCAAACAGCCAAGCCAGATGAACACACTTGGCGCTCCCCAGCAGAAGGCGCACAAATACATCTGCATTAATCATGAGGCTGTACTGAACAGGAGCTGTGAAGCGGGGGTTCCTTGGGGTGTCTGCTGCTCGCAAATCCGAGCACACAAGGAACGCAGATAGCGTCGCAGGAGGCCCGTACACAACCAAAGCAAGCAGCAATCGCGAGACCCGAAACTTGGTGGGGCCCCCCCCTCGCCCTTCTCTCGTTTTCTCTTGTCCCTCCGCCTCAGGCCCCCCCCACCAGGACAACGGAGTGTCTACAGGAGCGACGGCCCTCACAGCGAACAGCCCCTCAGCTGCACCAAGTGCCTTGTCTTCGTCGTCGTCTTCATAAGTGTCCCCTGTGCTCCTCCTCAACACGCGGTAGAAGGAGAAGGACCAGCCCCCCTCCCCTCCCCCGCTGCTGCATCTCTCCTCCTGTCCCCTTCGCCTTCTTCGGCGGACGACGCCGTCCACTGCACTACCTCCCAATCTCCCGCTGTCTACTGTCTCCCGTAGTGGAGCCTCTTGTGGCTCCGAAGAAGAAGGAGGCGAAGGGGCATTCAGTTCATTTCCAGTGATATGGGGCTGCTGTTGACGCTGCTGTTGCTCCTCCTCCTCCTGCTGCTGCTGATTTGCCGCGACAGGAGCGGCGGCCTTGGGTGCCCCTGCTGTAGAAGCAGAGAGAGGGAGTCCCTTAGGTTCCTGGGGCTTGCTAGGGAGCCGCAACCAACGCATCTCGCATATCACAGACCACTGGACAAGCACGAGACACCAGCAGCTGGAGAAGCGCTGCGTTAGAATAGCAACAAAAGACATCAGACCCAAAAACCAAGACTCTGGCCACATGCGTGTCATCACATACCACATCACAGGAAAAGCTGCGCTGCCTGGCACCCCAGATGTGATCCACTGAAAGGCATTCGGTCGAAACATTCCGTTGAAGACTGAAGCACAAACACAACACCAAACGCACCTGGAGCTGCTGCTGCTGCAGCTTACCCTGACAGAGTGCAGCACAAACACCAGTAGTTATTCAACTGCTACTGCAGCGCAAACATAACCGACGTATGCGCAAGTGCACATTTGGCACTGCAACGCCAACCGTGCAACACATCTGCTGCAGGAGCAGCAAGATTGCACAAACGCAGTACAGCTACTTCTGCAAATGCGGCAATAAAACTGCAGCTCTAACCAACAAGTCGACGGATGGAACAGTAGCAGAATATACAGCTGTAGTTGCATCACAAACACATCTACAGCTGCAGTATCCCAGAGACGTTGACAAAGTAGATGGCTGTGCAGACCGTCCGTCACCTCTAAACATATTTCATGCTTCTGCAAAAGGCGCTGGCTACCCTAAGAGGCAACGTAGTGCAACGAAGCACAGTGTACGGCCGCTCCTGAGCGGCCTTGAGCTGACAGCGGCAAAGAGAAAGCCTCTGCTCAAGGCCTCTCGTTCATGTGGTGTGTGGATTGGGTGAATCATGTAGGGGCGTTACGGACGCTGGGGATCGAAGGCTAAACCCTCAGCATAGAAGAGGAGATAGAAAAGCATGTAGGCCACGAGCCACTTGGCCGCGAGACAGGCGACGCTGATGATGACCGGATTGTGCGCAAGTTTGTCATAGGAAGCAACCGTCAGCACCACTCCGTCTCCTGGCATATACAGCAGAAGAGGTAGCATCGCAACACAAAAATATTTGTCTCTGAAAGAAGCCGAAGGAGGCGGCAGCTTAAAGATGTCCGTCATGTTGTACTTCTGGTCCTCCGCCGTCATCTCCATCAGCACCAAAGAAGGCAGCAAAATGAACATGCAAGGAAAGACGCATGCGCCCAGAGTCCCAAGAGCCCGGGGCGCCTGTGCAAAAAAACCATAACGACCCCATTAGTACCAGTTGTCTTCCCTCAAGTGCAGGCACAGAGAAACGTCATCAGCAGCCCCTCCAGCAACAGCAGCAGTAGTGACAGCAGCAGCAGTAACAGCAACAGCAGTGGCAGCAGCAGCCGCAGTACCAAAGCATCAGAGGGCAAACTAGGGGCCACCCACCTGCGTCAGCGTATACGTGATGATTAGCCAAATCGCCAAGCAGCAGAGAACCTTGCATGCCCTAGAAGTGACATCTGTTGATGTCAGCAGATGCGTCCATGAACCATTTATGTACTTCTCCACAGAAGCAACGCACTCCCCGCTGGGTTCCAGAGAGCAGCGCATGTCCTCCGCGCACCTGCCACACACCCCAATAGCACCGTAAAAAACAGAAGCGACAGGTATGTAGTCCCAGCTACTGTGAGTCGCACCGCTTGCGCGGAGGTAAGCGCATACGCAACACCGCAACCCCTCCCCAGGCACAGGCCGACGCACTATAGCCACCAAAAGCGCGCACCGGTAAACAGAGGACAACGAGCAAACGGCTAGGGAACGACTAGAACGAGGGGCACAAGGTGGAAAAGTCTGGCAGGAGACGGCGGGAGGAGAGGAAGGAGACGCCGAGCAGAGACGGAGCATCAGAGCCACTCAAGGAGATAGAAAGACCACGCAGGTGACAGCACAACGAGGGGGAGGTACAGCGTGACGTGAAATACCGAAGATCAGGTCAGCGGTGAAGGAAAAACAAACGCAAGGAGATAAAACAAAAAAACACACAACGCCAAGGTCACGAGACTCGAGGAGGTGAAACAAACGGGCGGGAGCCCACAGGGCAACACATTGTAGAGAGCTCTCCCATCTGTAGAGGGGGAGCAGCAGAGAAAGGCCTCAAGGAGGCACAACGAACATAGGGGCACCCTACTAGCCAAGATAGTAAAGGGGAGCAGAGCAAAGACCCCAGGCAAGAAAGGCAGCGAGACAAGGGCGGACATGGGAGGGAGAAATACCCCCGTTCTTATGTTAATAAGCCGAATAAACGGATGCCTAATCAGAAAAGGTGGCCTCCCTAAACCTACTCCGCTGCTGCCAAGCTCGCGCAAACTTCGTGAAAGGTGTCGCTTGTGATCCAAGTAGAAAGAGTCCCTATGGAGGTGACCAAGAAGTGAAGAACCAAAGAAGAGATGTACGTTTGCTGCACAGCGGCGACGGTGTTGCTGGCTGCCATCGCCAGCCCCAAGCCTCGCAGACGCCGGTGTAGACTTTCAAATGCACTTATAACCGATCCCTGCGCAGCCTGCCCTGCAACGCCGACCAACAGACAGAACCTAATGGGGATAAATGTGCTTGCATGCATGGCTCTTCAACCTACAACTGAAAGAGGTTCATTGGAGAGATGATTACCGAGGGCAACATCGATGACCATTATCGGCAGAGAACAAGCAATGGTCATGAGGGAGGCGAAGGCAATAAATCGGACTCCTCCCATCTCAAAAGCAGCCAACGGGATGTCCTCCAGGCTGCTCTGTCTTTGCGTTATGCAGATGAACAGCAGCAACGTGAAGATCGAGCCCCCAATCCGCAGCCTCCCCGTCACTGCATCAGCACCCCAAGAAACCCTAAAGTGTAGGCCCAGAGTAACAAAACGCCTACGCTGTGCATTCACCCCAAGAAACCCTAAAGTGTAGGCCCAGAGTAACAAAACGCCTACGCTGTGCATTCATTAGCCCCCCTTAAATCCCATAACAGCGGCAGAAGTAGCAGTAGCAGCAGAAGTAGCAGCAGCAGCAGAAACAGCAGCACCAGCGCCATCCCGATAAGCCGGCAGTAACATCAGCATCCGCAAAGGTCAACAGCAGGAACACTGGCAGCGGCACCAGCAGACAGAGGCAGTACAGGCAGCAACAGCTGTTCATGTGTGTCACCTGCATCTCTGCACTCATGTTTCTTATCGAACTGGGATTGTGCATCATCCTTCATGCGCGCGTAGATATTCGTGTGTGGGAACCATCTGGCTGCCTCGTGAACCATGGAGGCCTGCAGACTCACTGACGCCCCCATTCCGGAATCAGATGTGCAATCTGTGTCCCAAATCCCTTCACCTTCATCGGTCCCTGTTCCCCCTTGCCACCCCCCGCAGCCGCTGGCTTCGTCCTGGGGGGAGGGAGCAGCAGCAGCAGAATGCTGCACCTCATCAGTTGCACCAGCGTTTTCGCACCGCATGCTGACTCCCCTTCTTAATATGGAACGACGGGCCAAACTGGGGGCATTCTCGCTGCCCACGTCCACAGACACCGAACAGCTGCAAGGAGGGCCCCGCCGCGCGCTGCGGGGGGTAACCGATTCCCCGGGGGGGCCCACACACCCCTGATGAGTCGCCATCTCCTGCATGCAAGCAACTGAGGTTTCTTTTCGAGGCCTGAACATGAGTGGGGGGGAGGGGGGACCCTGTCTGCTCCCAGGCAGACAGGCGCTACCCCCCCTCCCCTTCATGCCGGCTGCTGCCCCACCCTGTGCAAAATAAGAATTTATCTCTTGTTATGTGAAGAAGAATGAACAAGTTCAGAATTTATGCGGCTGCACATAGGACCCCGAACTCCGTCTCGATGCAACGTGGGCTCCTCCGATGAGAACCCGCTATGCGTGTATTGGGGGAAGTTCAGCAGCTATCATGAGCAGGAGAACAGCACATAGCAAGAATGAAAAATGAATTTTACATTAATTTCGTGGCTGCAAAAGACTGCTTTCTGTGTCGGTGGTTCGGTGCGGTGTATTTCCACTGGTCCCCCACGAGCTGGGAAGGCCGGCCCCTAATGACTCCGATGCTCTCCGTCTGCCCACAGTTGGAGGTCCTCCATCAGCCCTACTGTTTTCCTAAATACCTAAAAGTAAGTAATATGAACAAATAAACTTTGGAGAAATGGAATCTCCCCGTGTGCAGTAGAGAAGGCACGCGGTGGATGGCCCACGCTGGGCACGCACGCAGCCAGCTGGCCGCCTGTGCTATGGTGTGCTGAACTTGTTGCCTGTGCGTGCTTCGTTCCCTGATTTTCTTGTAATCCTTTGAATCTACTCACATTCGTGATTCTCAGGGAAAGCGATGTGTTCCCCTCATATGCACAGGGAGTAGTTCGGCTCCCAGCTCCAACAGCCCCAGGCGGAGGCGCAGGCAACGCAGACCTCTCCCCTCAGTATGTGCTTCTAATACTTCTGTCAGGGCTCATAATGTTTAGCGCTTAGACCTTTAAAGTGATTTGCAGTCTGTTTTGTTGCTGTTCTAGCTGGTAAAGGATGTGGGGAGAGAGAGCCCCAGTAGCACACTGCTATAGAACAGCGGGCCCCTGCTGCCTTCACTTCACTGGCAATGCGAAGACACAATGAATCAAACCCGTTTAATAACACATCATATTCTCCAAACTGTCGGTCTGTGTGCACATATGTGGGGCATGAGCCCCTGGTTTGCAGACTGTGTTCATGGCCCCTACGTTGCTGACAGGCAGAGGGGAGAAGATATCGCAGATCTCGGTGGCAACGATGCGAGTAGGGGCACACTTGCATTACAACGCTTCTTCCATGTGAGGCAGGAGGTTACGAGCCAAGAGCTCCTAAGGCCGTAGTTTCAGATGTTCAAACCTACCACCCAGGCGGCCCCTGTACTTGCGTACTCCACGTAAATTGCACGTGGCCCCTAGGTGGCAGCACTTGACAGAAGGTACTTACTATAGTTATCCCCAACTCCGTAGGCGATGTATGTAGAAGGAAAGTCCAACCATCGACACCATACTTCATCTGTAGGTACTTTGACAAGTGTCGAGTACCATTAGTTTCTGGGTTGCGTCGTCGGTGCCAGCGACACCTGCAGGTGAAGCGATGTACTTTTGTTTGTAGAAAACTAGACTACAGCTCAGTTACCTTGCCTAGACTCTTGAGTTTGCAGGTGCAAGAGCCTAGGCAAGCGCACTGCAGCTGCACCGCCTCCAAGCAAAGCTGCTGTCGTGGTAGGAAGATAGATGGTCTGGATGCTGATGGGCAGCCAATCAGTTTTGTGTAGTTGAGGAAGTCATGAGAGGAACACGTTGTTACATTTTTTTTTTGCTGGTCTGGTGGTAGGTATGTGGACGCCTGGCTGGCCAGTCGTCCTTCCGTGGCTCGCTGAAGTCCTGCTCCTAGGGAAGAGGGAGGCAGTGCTCTTCAGTCTCGCCAGAAAAACTTTGTGCCCTCTTGCGGCTAGTTGCTGGTCTTTTTCAACTTTGTTGAGTATGCTGGCTTTCGTTCCGCTGCATTTGCAGCATCAGCTGCTTCCTGAAGTCCTGCGCGTTTTCCGCGAGCCGCTGCTGAAGCGTCACCTGTTCTCCCGCAGCAATGAGATCTTTGGGAGGGATAGGTGGCCTTCCTGCCGCATTAATTCAAACGCAATAAAACAAAGGGACCCAGTCTTGCTTAAGCATACATGAGTTGTCGCCTTACGCCAAGCCCCGGCGCTGCTTGCAGCAGCAATGCCACTGTCACTACTGTTGTCATTTGTGAGGTGTAGAGGGTCTCTCTCAGAACTCTTTTTGCAGCTAAAGACAGCGCAGGCACACCAAACGGCCTACCCAGGTGGTTTGATCTGCATCTTGGTCTCCCACCACGTGGTTGTAGGGGCGCCTCCTTGCTTGTACAGGAGGCAGCAGCGGTCTCGTGTGCTGGCCTAGAATTCGGGTTCCCGTGTTGTTGTGACACTGCAGCCAAGCAGGAGGCCTCCGCGTTCGGACGGCTAATGAACGTGGCAGCGAGATGATTAGCCAACATCATGTGCGGGTTGTAGACTGCGTGCAATGGCAGCGAGCAGTGCTCTACCGAAGCCGGACCAACTGGGGTGCAGCAAGAAGAATGTGATTGGTGGATCTTGTGCGTTTGGTCGATAAAGACAGGTCGCGTTGTTTCAGGAGTAGGGATTTCGCCCTCCCCAGCAAAAGCCGCAATGTCCCTCACGGAGAGAACCTCATGGCCTTCCAGAAACCCCGCATGAAGCTGACAGGAGACAGCCCCGTTATTGCTGCTTGCGGGCGCTGCACGGGGGCCTATCCCCCCACCAATATGTGCCCCTTGGGACAACGCACTGTCCTTCAAGAAGCTTGGATTCGGACTTCCGGGAAAGGAGGCACATCCCTCAGGCCCTGAAGACGCCTCCTTCTTGCGACTGTCGGACCGGTCGTATGCTTCTGCTTCCTCCAGTAACGCAGCGAACTCAGCATCGCTGGAGGCGCTGCCGTCTTCAGGGTCCCCGGGAGTTTTGCTCGTGCTTACCCCTTCGTGTGGAAGCAAGCCCAGTCTACCTCCTGCGTGCGCCAGTCCTGGTTGCTCTATGGCCTCAGAGGCCTGCGGGCACCTACTACTCGTAAGGTGTGCAGCAGGAGGCCCCTCCCTTTCAGAGTTATCCAGTGTCTCTTTCAAGGGACAGCCAAGCTCTTCAGTGCCTTCGGAGCCAAACCTTGGCTGCTCTTCCCCTCTGAGGGTCTCCGTCACTACCGAAGATGCAGCAGGGCAGGCCTCAATCGCGGTCACTCCCGTTCTTGGGTTTTGAATTGAACTATTCATCGAGGCGTCGGGTTCTGGGACAACAGGACCCGGGGCTTGGGGTTGCCCTTGATGCTCCTTTCTCCTGGGTGCCGCTGCTGGCCTCTGTATGAGCTCAGGGTATAATTCCCATGTTGGGCGAAGCGACCGAACAGAATGTTGGTTCTGTATGGTCTCAACTTTCGTAGGGGAGGCCTTCTGAAACGCCAGAACCCTACTGGGCTGCCTGCGGAAGCAGCGAGCTTTTTTCCAGTGTCTCTGGATTATGCGTGCTGCAATATTCAACACCGGCAGTGAGGGCAAGAAGCCGAAGGCCCCTAAGTCCATCCCACGGGTTCCAGCGCAGCGGGAGGAGCCGCCCACCGGGTCCCCCGGGGGCCGCGCTTTCCGCGGACGAAGCCCGATGCCGCCGCATTCACGGGTTGCAGGTTCGGGATGGGATTTGTTTACAGAACAGCTGGTGGGGTGCGGCTGGGGCGTCACGCACGGCGACTCCTCGCTGACGCTCAGCTGTATGGACCCGTCGCTGACGGGGGGTCCGGGCCTCCCTATAGCGGAACCTCCGCAGGTGTCGGAGACGGGGGAACAGCTGCACGAAGGCTGGGGGCCTCTCAAGGGCGATGATGTGATTGGCAGCTGGCTGCTACCGCTGGCAGTGGCTGTGCTGACCGTTGGGTGTTCACTGTGTTCTTGGGCGTGCCCGCAAGTTTTGCAAGGGGAATGAGAGTCGGACAGCTGGCTCCAGACAGCACATTCTCCAGGCAGCAGTTTTCTTATAGGAGCTTCTGACCCTTCTGTTTCCTCTGGACCTTCTGGCCCTCCTTGACTACACTCTATTTGTACAGAGATCCCATCTTCGTTGCCATGGCTGGTGCCGCATCCTTCATATTCCCCCCACGACGGACTCAGTTCGCGCGCACAGGGTCCTAGGCACTTACGCACTGGGCGACCAGCTGTATTTGTGTTGTACTGATTTGGAAGGTTATGGGATGCGTGTAACCTGTTGTATATGGAACAACAGGAATCTCGTGCTGAAGGTGCTGCTGCGCCCCCGTGTTGCGCCGCATGCCATGACATGCTGAGCGGCTTCCCATGAGTTTGCGTGAGTTCTCCAGAAAGACTCCCCTTGGCCCTGTGCTGGCCAAAGAGGCCGCACGAGCCATTCCCCCCAGTGTGTTGTGCGGACGATGTTGAGTTTGTGTGCATTGCCCCTTGCGCCTTGTGGAAAGGGCCTCCATGATGTATAACGAAGTGTCCACATTCATGAGGGTGAGCATGGGGACCCCGGAGAAGCGACGAATTAGAGTAGGATGAGCGAACTATATTTTCTGCTGTTTCGCTGCCCACATAGGTGCTGCCGCTGGAGCAATTACTCGTGGGCCCGTTTGCCGCCGCTTCCCAACTTCCAGCGGAATTTTGGGTCTGTGCTACGGCAGCGGGTCTTTTGTCTTCGTCGCCTCGGCAGTTCAGCTTTCCGAGGAACCCTTCGTTGGCGGATGCTTCAGAGACCGAGTACTCGAATGCTTGTTCACACGACATGTGCTCAAGTTCTCTAGCGTCTGTGTGTGCGGTGGATATGCCTCCCTGCGTCTCATGATGGCGGCTGTTGCACGGGTTGTGGGAAGGGAATCGCAGTGTATGGTCTAGCAACTGTCCCTGTTCTTGCTCTTGAGACTTTCCTCGAATTGTGCATTTATTGTTGGCGTAGCAAGAGCTCCGTGTTTGCGGCTGTGCACTGACGTGGCACTTGGGGGTATTTCCCCGCTCTATCGGAGTCAGGGCTCTGCACAGGCGCTCCTTTCTATAGTGTGCGTGTAGGGTGCGAGCATTTGTTGCGGATCCAACGTCAAATGACTCCTTGCTGCTACTGTAGAGGCTTTTGTGTGTTGGTCTGCTATCTGCATTTTGTCCTGACCAGGTGTTGTTGGCGCTTGGCAGCAAATTTGTGCCTTGATCTGCAGAGCCACCTTGACTCAAACAGGTTGGCTGGGGACAGTGAGAAATACAGGGACTGGTGCCACAAAGTCCACGTCTACAAGCCCCGTCCTGGCTAGAAGGGTCCGTCCGCAGATCATACACGTGCGAATGCGGTTCCACCTGCACCTGTCGAGGCTTGCTGAGGCTGTTTGAGTGCACAGGAAGAGATGGAGCTGCTCGCTTCTCTTGGCAGCACGGGGCACTTACGGTCGCCTCTCTGCAATGCGCCGACGGCCACTCCGCGGGATTCTGTGCAGTCGTGAGGGTATGAGGTTGACGGCCTTCTGTGGTGCAATGCGCAGGATATGATTGCTACGGTATGTCGATTGTTCCTTTGTTCCAGTGTTTTCCATGTGCATAGTTGTGCCGGTGTGTGCTCTTGAGCGTGTGCATCCCCTTCTGGGTTATGTGTATTTTGGCAAAACTTGGCTTTCCCCCATACCTGTTCTGGAAGTCTCGCTTTTCGGTGAATGGCTGGTCGTTCTCTGCGTCGGCTGTTTCTGGTATTGATCTGAAACTCCGGGAGCAGCAAGCATGCAACGGCTCACAGGTGTGTAGATGCATGCGTGTGCTTGTATTTGTTTTGGGCAAACCTTTGTGGTAGAAAAATGTGGATACGGGGAGTACTGGTTGTTTGCATCCCAAAGGTCTGCAGCAAGCTGCGATTAGGCGAGTTTGCGGGCGGGAGCAGCAAACTTGCATTCATCTATTGAACGTAATTCATCACTTTCCGTCTTCGTCCCTTCAATCATTTGTGTGGTGGAGAGTTGGTCGGTTGCCTGAAAAGAGCGCAGCACCGTGGTGGCCCAGTTGGCTCCCTTTTTGGCTCGTTGAATGCGGAAGTTGAGCCTACTGTGGCATTGGGCTGTTTAGAGCGTTGCTCGTACCTGCTCCATATCGTCTTGTTGTACAATTATCTCCGACACGGGCTTCAGGGAGTCCTCTGGAGGTGCACCTTCTCTGAGCGGCTGCCAGTGAGCTTTGGTAGCTACCTTCGCACCGTTATCAAGATGAGGAGGACAGGCAAGCCGCAGCAAAGACGCCTTCTCCTCTCTCTCTGTTCGCAGCTGCATATAAGCTGCTTCAAGTGCCTGGAGACGCCCAGCCAAGCAATGTGCAACACCGAGTCAAGGTTTTGCTGGAGGCCCACATGGTCTTTATGCAGTGCCGGCTTTCGGCACTTCTGCCGCATCGATCCCGTTGTCGTTCTGTTCGGGAAACGGCGGAGCACAAAAACCCCCTCGGCTTACAAGTGCTGTGCGGGTTGCTTTTGCTTCAAAGTGACCCTTTGATTTGCGCAGAACCTCGAGACGTTGCGCAAGCTTCAGTAGCTCTTGCTGCTGCTTCTCGCTTTGTTGTTGAACCTGGATATGTTGCTGCTTTAGTTCCGTCAGTTCACCTTGCAGAGTGCGTAGCTGTCGATCTGTGTTAGTCACATAAATTGAAACACCTCAAAAAATAACTTCAGCATGTGGTCGTCACAGTCCCTCTTGGATAGTGTCTCTCCAAACCAAAAGACACAAAATGGCTATATGTTAGTGAAACTATGCGTGAAGATCTTTGTACAGAGTGTCGTCTTCTGTCGCACCCTTCGACCGAATAGCCATCCGCAGCCGCGAACAGTCTGCAAGTTCGTTAGCGTCATCCCTTGTCCCCGGTTTGTCCCCTTGATGCGTTGTGTCCGTATAGCTTTGGATCTTCGCTCCTGTGAAAAGCGTTGGGGAGTAAATTTCCTATTCCCGGAGCTTTCGTACTACCGGTCCTTTTGAGACCAATACTGTTGTTTTTTTCTCACTTTGCTGCCTGGGACAACTGCTTTGGTGAACAGCAGTGGAGTACCTCTGCAGATTGAGCTGCTTTGCGCAGTGTTTTGGGGCGCTTTTGCTTTTAGTGTCCGAATTTCAGCTTGCTGCTGGCGCAGAAGTTGTTGTGCCTCTTCCAGTTGGTTCTGCAGCCCCTGCTTTTCTTTCTCGCTCGCAGCAATCTCTTCGTGAGCGGCGTTGGCATCCTGTAATCTAGTTGCATCCAGCGCCTCGAGCTGCGTCATCCACATAGCTAACATGACTCCGTCGTGTGTCCTCAGTAGTAAAGACTTAAAAGACTTATTTTCCCTTCGAGATGTTCTGTTCACCTCCTTAATTCTTTGAGTTGCCTGTTCTGCGGCCCGCAGAAGCTGTTCGTTGCGGTTGCGATAAGCTGCACGCAACCTCAGGTCAGTGCGCATGCCCTGCAGTCTGTAGCACGTTTGGTTGGGGGTACTGCATCCAGTGCGAAGGGGTGTAGGGAACTGTGCATTCTTTCAAACCGGTCAAGGGAGATCTGTAGTGTCTCTGAGTTCCACATCTACGGGCCCAACCACGTACACGCAGCAAGCCGAACAAGTTGCATGTGCTTTGCTTCCAGTATCCGCAGCTTCTGTTTCAAGGACTGTTCTGCCTGAAGGGATTCTCGAAACAGTCCACGTCAACCCAAGCGTTTTTCAGTCAGAGCAACGGAGCCGTTCCCAATTACCTGTACATATGTTTTATCAATGATGCCTCTTCAGATCGATCTTGCTCACCCCAATGAACTCCCTAGGAATTTTGGAGGATCCTGATTCAGATGCTTCGACGTCTGCAAGGCCTTCCTTTTGCAAACTGCTGGCAAGAGTATGCGCCATCCCCTGCAGCAGAAGGAACGACGGGTACATCCATCACTTCGTTCTGTGACAGTTTTGCTCCCTAATATCCATTGTCCTAATTGCATCAATTTTCAGGGGTGTGCTGAGAAGTATAGGGCGCGACCTGAGCTAGCTCGTGTGTAGGTTGCAGCGGCTGTGTATTTTAGAAGAGCAAATTTAGAGGCTTCAGCCTCTGCGTTACTCACAGTGGCTGCTAGCCGTCTCCTACTGTGCTGCGGGATGCGGCCGTTCGATGTTGTTGCAGCATAGGGTGGCATCGCCTGTCATGACGGGGCGCAAACATCCATGCTACATTCGTTTTTCTCCCAGTCTGTGCCTCTCCTATCTCTATCCATTCGAGGTCAGCTAGCTGCTTCCCAGGAAGAAGTTTTATTTCGGGTGTGCTGGCCATGAAACTTATGGGCCATCGTTGGTCCACACATTGCTGGGCAAGCTGTTGCTGCAGAGGTTCCCTGAGCAGGGTTTGAGGCCAGAGCCCGCAACTCACCACTTCTAACGTCCAATGTTGACTTACCCAGTACCTATGCCTTGGCAGGTTTAGCAGGTTTTGTTGCACGGTTTGTTGCCTGGTCGTCAAGGGGCAAGCAGGCCGCTTTCACGCCAGAGGCTACGAAGCACTTTCCTCGAGGAACGGGATCTCGTGCACTCCTCCCCAGAATTTCACTCTCTCCTTTTGCTAGCTCCTTGTCTAAGTACAACAAGCAGGGGAGAAAGTGTTAACTACAGCAGCGTTACACCACGGATTCACGACCGGTTACCACTAACCCAATCCCTGCCGGCGTATCCGACACCTTCATTGAGCCTGAAAAAGTGGCGTTCAGTTCTCCGTAAGGTAATACACAGATAACGGCAGAGATGGGCTGCAAAGAGAATGCCGTCGACGGCATAAGACAACGGGGCATCAAACGCGCAGTACAGTCTGCAGCCAGTCGTAACGTGGCCCCCCACGAGAATTACAATGCCTCACTTACCCCTCAATATTGTTGATCAGTTTACAAAAGTATCTCCACCTTTCCCACCTTAGTTCAGATGCGTGCAGCACGGTTTCACCCCAGACGCCCGTAAGCACTCAGCGGCCTTCTGGCAGGTCGCCAGCAAGAAACACCAGTGAGAACACCGTATTACCCATGTGCATACGAAAATACAAAAATGGCTTTTATTTACAATTTGTGCCTTCTAAGGCAATAACACGGCGCCTGGTTACGGAATTAGATCACCATGTGCAGAAAAGCGCTGGTGGTAGGCCACTTGAGCGATGAAAACAGAAGAGGCAAGCACAGCCCATGGCCTTTACAAGTGGAAAAACCAACAGTCCTCCTTATTACATTTCAAGTTGTAATGTTGGGCAAAGAAGGGAGAAACTTTTTCGTCAAGATCTTTTGTGCAAAGCGTACAATGGGGTCGGGCGCTACCATTGGTTACCACGTATTCAGTCGGTGTTGTGTGTGTACATCTTGTACCCCATTTTTACTACAAAGATGTTTTTAACTGATGCCCATATGTAGCCACTGATACAAGGAGGCGTGACGGGTTCACCTTGCTGTGGTGGATAAGAACTGCACGCGTAGAGTTCGTTGTGGCAGGCGACCAAAGTACAAGGATATACCAATGCAGCCATTGGACGCAATCCGCCAGATACGGCACCTAATGAACCAGCAAGCTAGGTGTTCATATTTCTGCTTGCACCTTAGCTAAGCTCGCCTCGTCGCAGGTGGGCGACACTGCGGGGCGACACTGCGAAAAAAAGGGCGAGCTGCAGGGTGGGGCTTGAATTGTTGCCCCGTTTGACTAATTGACGACATGAAACATATTTTCCTACCCCTTCAACCTTGTCTAGCATAGCAGACTCCCCCTCTGCTTATCTGATGAATGTTAGGTGACTCCTTGATGCTACTACAGTCTTGCGATTGTGTGCCCTGCAATGGTCGTTGGTTGTTTTCTGTTCTTCTGAGTGCGCTGCCATTCAGCATATCCCGTGACAACGGTATATCAGTGAGGAGCGTTATTGAGTAATAACGCACCTCACTCCCAACATGTCGCTGAATGCATGAGACAGGGGCACATCTTTCTACTCCTCCACGCATTACTGTAGACAATCGTCATGTGACTGCCTACGTCTGCCCGCCAGAATGGTTGTGCACTTTAATCCCCTCTGCACAAAGGGCGCAAGCTGAAAATACCACGTGGAGTCCATATGCGATTAGTATTTTGAAACCCAGGAATCGGCAAACTACCCTTGCATTTGCGAAGTGCTTCACGGAGTGTTTGCATAGCGAGTCAAGGAATTTGGCAAGATGAAACGGTATCCTTAAACAAAGTGGAAGAAATTTCCTCTAGCGAAATAGTTGTTAGAGTCCCCTCCCCTCTCGGTTAGTTTGCTAGCTTCAGGAGAAAGAATATTAAGAAAAACAATTAAATTGAATGCCTGGCCAGCTATACCAACCATCTGGAAGCAGCTGTATCTCAGCATTTCGGAGAAATAATTGGTTTGGCTTGCAAGGCTCCTACTGAACGCGCTCCCCACATGCTGCATGGGCGCTGCTGTTTAGGTGCGCCATCATGCCCTTACTAGTGCACAGAGGTGTTGCGGCGCTGTGGTTTTTCCATGATTGGCCTCTGATAGTAGAAGAGGAGGAGGTTGCACATCGGAGCAACAGGGGCGCTGTGTAAATTTGCAGCGAGCATCACGTGCCACAGGAGCACCACGAGGCAGCCCTCACTGTATACTGAGGGATGTGGCAACGGCATTTCTCCACAGTTCCATCCCTTCTCGCCAGCGTTTCATTATGGAGCGCTCTGGTCACAGCACACACAAGTTCCCGCCCAGTTGTCCGCTCCTTGAACATTGGCAATGGATGCGAGTGCGAAGTCCGTCTAAACGTGGGAGCATACCAGCTGCAAGCAACTCGTCGAGAAGGTGGTTGTACTCTGCTCTTTCTGCAACCTTTTTGCGGATCCTGCACAGTCCTCGTGCATGCAGATGTCATCTCGTATTCAGATTTCAGAACATAATAGGTAATAAACACTGTTGTGGTTCTGCCGAAAACGCCTAAGAAAAGGTATTTTTACAGTACCTAAGCAACTTCGCTTACTGCCTTTTACATTCGAAACAGTGAAGTGCAACGTGCAACATAGAACTCAGCGATGTCAGCATACTTCGCTATACGCAGAGCGAAGTCCTTCTCTAAGATCGATACTCTTTGTTGAACCTGCTCTTCAATGGTGCGGGCCCAAGTTGCTTCCGCCTCTGCTCTCTCTGCAGATTCTCGCTATGAACAGAAGCAAGGAGTGGCGCTGCAACACCGTCCTTGAATCGGCGAGATCGCCACGAGGTCGATCGCCATGTCGCGAGCAAACGCAGGACACCCAAGAGACCTATTATGAGGGAACGCGTACCTCTGCCTGGGCCTTGCAAGCAGTCAACTCGGCGTCCTTCTTCCTACAGCATTCCTCCAACTTCCTTTGGGTTAGCTGTAGAGACTGAGTGTAGCAGTAGACGCAGCGCCCGATGGCTTCACGTCTGCACTATCAATTCAAGTTTGGCTATATCCGGATATACCGTCACCCATAGCCCCAGTTGCAAATGCATGGAGCTATTCGCCTACCTGTAAGAGTTTTCTGCAGTTTGCAAGCTCCTGTTGTTGACGGCGAACTTCGAGGTTGTCTCGCTGCCGTTTAGCAGCTTCGATGCCATGATGCCTTCTCACTTCGTCCAGCTTAGTTTCGAGAGTTGCACACTTTTCAGCCAACTCCTAAGCGAACAACAACGGGAGTAAAGCTGATGTACTGAGACGCACTTCTTATCACAGCTCATTAGCTGTGATAAGACTACACTGTCATTTTGTAACACCGTATGATGGCAGCCACAGCCTCCTGACACTTTTTGTTAGGAGTATCTACCCCAATGAGAATGCTGTCTCTGAGATGCTCAGGAAACTGCAGTGTAGGGCTTGCTATTTTCTCCGTGTAGAGAGCAAAAAGCATACTTTTTCCTTTGCCGCTCCAGTTGCAGATGCTAACGCTGTTTGTTTCTGCATACAGGAGAACGTCAGGCTGCAGGACATTTAGGAAAGGCAAGTTATAGTCCACTCCAGACTCTGGTTTAGCTTGGGAGCTAAGGGAGCTGATAATACGTTTTCTGAGTGAGTGGTTTAAAAAGCGTTTAAGTCATCTGCTTCTGGGAGACTTTTCAACAGCGGAAGCTGATCGGACGGAAACTTAAATATTACCACGGATACTAGCTTAGCTTTAAGTCCGGCATACTTGTGCCTCTTCCAGACGACAGCAAAGCTGCGTTAGAACCAGCAAAGTACACATTCTGTGCTTAACATGTGTATGTTACTGCATGCGATAGCACAGACCTCTCTGCAGTTGACAGGAAATCCAGGACACAGAGGTTTTTAGGATTTTTGAAAAGTGACACACCACGCCCAAGGAGGATCAGCACAGGGTCCAAAAGGGGGTTATTACGTACCTCTTCGTTTCTGACTCGAGTCAGGTGCAGTGCTCTCGTAGCCTCCATGAGATGAGTTCGCAACTGCTTCTTTTTTGCCACTGCTGCCTCGTGCTGTTGTTGAGCCTCTTGAAGTTGCGCCCTCATCCGACTCAGCGCCTCTTTCTCACTCGATTCTTTTTGCATCAGCTCTTGCCTAAGTGCCTCCAAAGTAGATTCTAGCTGCACGGATGGAGTCAAAGCTCCCAACGCACCCTATTGAATATTGTAGTTATTCTGCAGACGACGAACGCCTATCGTTGACACCCGCTGTCCGTTTATTTCTTTAGCAAATAACAGTACCGGTGTATGGAGGAATCTGTTGATCCCCCCCAGTTATATACGGTCAACGATGACAGCTGTGAGTTTCATACTTCTTCGTTGAGGGTTTGCGTCCTCAGGAGGGCAGTTTCCTGGTTTTTCGACTGTTGTTCCATTGCTGAAATAGTTGCTTCCAATTCGGCAGTCTGCAACTGCTGCGACTCCTGCAGCACAGTGAATTTGCGACGAAGAGTGGTGGTGTAGTACTCGCAGTTGCCGCCAGTTTGCGACGATGGCAACGTGTATTTATTCGAATGCCCAGCTCACTTCCAGCCCATGTCTTACTTTGATTATATCTGCCTGGCGCATCAACTCTTGAACTTTGCTAGAGAGCACGGTGATTTCCTCACGTGAGCTTTTGAGTTCCTCTTTCTGCCTCCAATTTGACTCTTTCATAAGTTGAAGCTCTCCAGATAACCTATTTGTGTAATCTGTTGCAGCATCCAGTTCCACTTTAAGCTTTTGCTTCTCTGTTAAAGATTCAGTAAGATCTTCGAAGTGCTTTTTAGAGTAAAATTCGAGCTCTTTTGCTATCTTAGCATTTTCAGCTTCCAGACGAGCTACGTCCTCAAGGCGCCTCTGGGCCTCGAGTTCAAAGCGTCGTGCTTCCTCAGTGGCTATCCTTAACTGCTCAGCTTTCTGTGCATCGCGTTGGGTAGCCTTATGCAATAAAAAGGCCAGACACAGGCAGTCTTCACACTTAAAGTTATTTCGACAAGCGCGCGCTTCGCTGCAGCGATTCATGCACGGGTGATTGTAGAATGGATGGGTTAGGAATTTTGCAACTCTACTCGTGGACCACTGTGCACCCTTTCTAACTGGCATCACGCTCACTGATCTGAGGTCAGTTGCAAGCACAGCGATCTCGTTGGCCTGCTTTTCTAGCTCGTGCCTGAGGGCCTTCTCGTCCGCCAACGTTGTGTTTAGTTGCCGCACTGCATCTGAGTGTTTCTCCTGAAATATCCGTGAGCAGGATTATCACCCATTTGTAAATTGGCAGGTTTGTGGTTCTCTTGAACAAACCTCTGTACCACGGCATTCCTTTCAGGTTTGTTTGAACGCCTTCACGTGTACATTTTCTTACACCTGCGCTGCTCTTGGCTAAACTGGAAGGGGATTGGCTCACGCTTATCTCTTTAATTCGAGTTTCTTCGAGGACAATTCTTGCCCGCATCCGATCGCACTCTACTTCAAAAGGCAGAAGGCGCCTACATTCATCTTCGAGCTTCAAAAGATAAAGCATGATCTAACGCTGTTAAACCCATGCAAAATCGTAGCTGCTGACGGAAGGCGCACCTGTGTGTGTTATAGTTACTAGAGCAAGTTCGTCGCAGCAACTAACCCAGCAGTTCCTTTCAGAGATATCTTGAAAAGCTTTTAGTGCCTCTTGTGCACCCTCCAGTTCCTTCAAGAGCTTCGCGCTTTGCCGCTTCGCAAGCTCAGCCTCCCGCTGAAGAAACACGAGCACGCCTAGTGTGCGCTAGAATCCCCCCTTGATCAGCAATCATTAGAACTGCTAGATCATAGTCTCCGTTCATTAATGTATATTATAGTCATTGCAATAGCACCTGGATTAGCAATAACTGTTTTTCCTTTTCAGTGAAGGCCTTGAGTTGCTCCTCCAAGCGCAGGATCTGTTCCTTGTCGATGGCATGCATCTGCCTGCAGCGTTCCAGTGAAGCATGGGCTTGCTCAAAGTCCTTTTGGACAACACAGAGTTTCCCCAGATCTTGCTGCAACGACGCGATGTGGGCCTGTAAAACGGGAGCATATCACTGGTGCAGGATAACTTAGTTGGGTATCTTTCTCGTGTCGCAGAATACTAAGAAGCACAAACCTACATGCGATGTTAGTATTAGACACTTTATTTTCCCCTCTGCCCAGAATGCCTCCTATTCCACACGGCTGGTGCTGAGCTCCCCATTTTGCCTCGAGGCGCTTGTAGCCGTACCATGGCCTGAGTAAACTCTTGTCTCAGATGACTGTTTTCCTTCATGAGGTCAATGCGATCACTCATTGCCAACTCTGCCTCTGCTTTTGCCACTGAAAGCTGCTTCCGAGCTGCTGCAAGTTCGATTGCAGCTGAATCCGATGAAGCTCGAACTGCACCATACTGCTCAGCGAGCTTCGCAACTTCTGCCGTCTGTTGCATGTATTGTTTTCGCACGGCCGAAAGTTCTTGGGCTGTGAGCATTTAATGGAAACAAACAGGCTGGATATGACCGTATTTTGCCTAACTCGTTTTAGCATTCTAGTCGGACAAAGTTACTGGCCGATTCCAAACATGTGGAAAGCAGCACTTGCCTTGATCAGCGACGTCGCGAGACAGAGTCCTATTCGATTCGCGCAAGGCTGCGAGCTGGTGCTCTAGTGTTTCGACTTGAGCGGGTTGACGCACACCATCGTCCGGGACGTACTGTGGGGCGTGGCCAAGACCATCTTGCGCAGTCGGCTGCAGAAGCGCTAGCAGCATCGGCATGGTTGTTCCTTTTTAGGCACCGTCGACACATGCATCTGTGGTCTACTTGCAGGAAAAAGAGCGGCCTCCGGACTTACCGATACTACCTGGTGGTTCCGTTCCCCAGTGTATCCCTGAGATGCTTCGCAGTGTGTCGGACTGTGGAGTAGTGGGCTTCTTCTCTGCCAATGCGTGAAATGTCCACGGTCCCAGCTGGGTACCCGAAAGCTCTCAGAGCGACCTCCACGAAAACAGGGCCTGGCAGAGCCAGCTCTGGCTGGCCTGGAAAAACCGTGTATATTCACGCGGCAGGCCTGTGGCTTTTCGCAGACGTCTGGATAGCAGTGCATTTCCGTAGGGACCAACTCAAATGAGAGTGCATGTATCAGCACCTGTAGATGAACCCAACAGGTGTTAGTCTGCGTATGCTGATCCTCACTGTTGGACGCTTCGAAACGCTGTATTCGGTATAAATCTCCCCAAGCAGACGATGGGGGGAAGTAACCTATCCGAAGATGGGTTCTGCTGCTTCCATGAACTGCCAGGCACTTCTTGCCTCTTTCACGAAATTTTGAGAAGTTCTTTTATTCGATGCATTCCTCACGATCAACAGGTGCCACAGGACGTCGAGCGTTTCAAAAGTTCCAGTTTCAGAGGTGGTTTCGTAGCTGCTGTAGAGCACTGCAAGTCGCAAGTAGTGCCAGGGCATTCAACTACGGCCTTCTTTTTCCAAGGGCGCGATAAGAACTAGGGCCACAGCATTTTACCACCAACTCGCCTCCTTCATCGGAGGTTGGGAATGCAAAGAAGGCAACAGCAAACACACACTGGAGTTCTTCTCCCTTGCTCCCCTCTTTTCAGCCAGTGCAGCAACCTTTTTCTCTAGGCTCAACTGGTTTCTGCGTCTCCTCCGATGTCCTCTCACGGCAGTTGAAAAATATTTCGGGGGGAACGCCGACGTTGGCGAGCTTGGGCCACACATGAAACTCTGCGCTTCATGCGTTTTGTCTCGCTAAGCTATTTTTGTAGCGAGGCCATCCAATGAAGGCTCGAGCATTGCGACCGACCGAACTTGTAGCACAACTGTTGGCAAAGGTAAGCGAACCTCCCCCCAATAATTGTGCTTCTGCAGGAAGTCACGTTCCGCTTATACTCAAATGTGCAGAACAAAGACTGCGTCAGTCAACGACTTCAGGAAGCAACGCTGAACGACAGCGGAGACCTCATTTCCTCATGATTTCGCCGGATGATGCCTGCACACCTGAGCAGGAGCGCGTTGCTCGAAGGAGCATCCAGCATAAAAGCGCCTATTTCCTGAGTGACAAAGATATGTATGATAGTCGCAATGCAAAGGGTGCCCGTAAGTGGAAGACATTGTTTTCACCGAACTCTAAAGTTGCACATTCTTACGGGGTCACCGCACGGGGGCCTGGGGCCCGATAATGAGGCCAAAGCGCGTCCATATCCTGCTCTAAACACATCTGGCATTTTATCATCATACAGAATTTAACTCATGCTTATGTCCATACTGTGAATTTGGCAAAGGATCTCTGTTGTTTCCTCAGTTAACCGCCAACTACCGTCGTATGCGAGGCCCATCATAACGCCGCCTTTATGCCCGCTTATTTCGCCCCCCACGGCGCAATTCATAGCTTCTAAATTCTTCAATCTTTTACGTTCCCACACAGTTGGCACCATATACGAAACAAAGTGCGGTGGAGTGCAGTACAGTTGTGCCAACATGCTAATCTCTTCGAAAGAAAATTCTGCTGTAGGGCTTCTGCTGGCGGAAAGTTGCTACAATTTTTGAGGGGCACATTTCAGGCCCCTTATTTCATAATTTTTCCTGCTGCTAAAAAAGTTCGGGGTGACGGCGCTATTCATCCCTGATTCAGCAAGACCCATTTTGAGAACACCTTTCCACCGACACCGCAGCCCACCGACCCATGGCTAAGGTTTGCGCCCCAGCCATTACTCTATATGCAGGGCAACCTACTTCCGGCTCCTTCACGCACATTAATGCAGCGGTGTGTGCAACCACCGCTAGAACTGTGCGCTTACCTCCCAGCTAACTATCTCCAGGCGCCTCACTTCCCTCCTCGTTCTGCAGTGCTTACCAGCGCATTTACATTTAAAAGCCGAACGAAGACACAGGAAGCTCATCTATGCTTTGTAGACACAGTAACAGAATAACAACTCCATGCTGGCTTAGGGCATTTGCGCTAAGCCAGCATGGAGTTGTTATTCTGTTACTGTGTCTACAAAGCATAGATGAGCTCCCTGTGTCTTCGTTCGGCTTTTATAGGGTACGACGCCTAGTTTGCATTGCTTTTCAATTACTGGTTTGCCCGGCTGAATAACAATTTCCGTGAATTTTTCTGTTTATATGTTCTAGTTCGTGAATACGCCCGTAAGGTAAACTGGCCTAACGATGAAGAGAGATGATAACCTAGTGAAAACCCAGTTCCAGCGGGAGTATCAACCGCTGGTACGCACAAATGACCACAAAAGGGTCGTGCGGAGCCACAAGGAGAACCTTTTGCACGGTAAAAGTGTCAAGTGGAAGTTTAACACCAGCGGAAATCTTCATGTGATACCCAAAAAAACAATTGATATCCCCATTACATCCTCAGGCAATATGCCACCGACTGGGTGTGGAGAACTGTGGACACACTCCAGCGTCCAAACCAATGTCTACGCCATGGCTGCGCCAGTGGTCAGCCCTCCGATATTCTGCAGGCCCCTCTGCAGTGCAGTTGTGTATTCGTTTATGGCCTATGCATGCAGATCAACACCTCATCGTCTATTCGCACTCCAGAAGGTCTGTTGATGCTGTGGGGAGGAATGCTTGATAGCGCGAAAGTGGGAACGAGACGCAACTAAATGGGATGTGAGCGCAATGTCAAGGTACACTGCTAAGGAGTATTTTGGTTGCACCTGTAATATCTCATCATCGGCCTCCTCACGAGCCTGCGTGGCAGCTGCAAGGCCCGCACGCAGCTCTTCCAGTTCCTCTTTGACGAACGTATGGAACTGATCTCGCGACTGGTCTCCCCTGACACGCACAACACATATTCTGCTAGAAAACGGATCGGAAATCAGCCTTCATTCTCCAACAACGATCCGGGGACAAAGGCAATTTGGCCTCGCAAGGTGAAGTGCGATGGCATGCGTTGCTCAATACTGCATACACTTCTCATCTTTAGGCTTCTTTTGTCCCATCAAATTCACAGCCCCACCTGAGGAGCATGGCAATCTCCTTTTTGATAGATGAAAGTTGTTGGTGGCGCGTCGCGATTTCGTTCTCAATTTTTAGGTCCAAATTCTTGGCGAGTTCCTCGAGCTTTTCCCCTGCCGCGTCTTCCCTTGCATTCCTCGAGCGCACTTCAGCTTCGAATGCCGCTCTCGTGGCCTTGCAGCAAGCCATCAGTTCTGCAGCTTCCCGCTGAAAGATGCATGCATAGACGTCCCACATAAAATAACATACACTCTTCCCATGATTAACTGGCCACGTCCCGAAGAGCAGAACAAACTAACAGGCTATAAGAACACAAAAGGCAGCAACGCGCTGGCTGAATTAGGTGAAGACCAGGATATCCGTGCTCTTAAGACACTTGTGGCTGGCCGTTGTGTATGCTGTTCATAGCAAAGGGCGTCCGACTGAGAGTTTTTCTGCTTGCTCTCCTTTAAGGCTGCAGAGTCCTTGCTCTAATTCCTCGCAACGCGTTATAAGATGGTCGAGGGCGCCCTGAAGCCATTAAGCACGGCGTCTTTAGCAACAGCCGGATAAGCAGGCCGAAAGCTTGCGGGAGGACGGGTTGTTGGCTTGGGGGGTTGGGAAGCTCCTAAGTAAAATATGTGTGTAGAAAGGAGCAACAACGGTAGCATGTGGGTGAAATTGTTTGTTTTGAGCATTCTTAGTTCATGCGGAATGGGAGTGTTAGCTTGCCGTCAAGTGGCCTATGTGTTTGCCTATTTTTGCTTGCAACCTCTCAAGCATTTCTCCTGCCATCTTCCCTGCCGCCCTCTCTAGCACTTTGCTGGCCTCTCCCCTTCTCCGCGTTTCTACCGCAACTCCGTTCTCAATCGCTTGTACTGCTTGATGGATTTGCTAAGCACAGCAAAAAGCACAAAAGCAGCCACTTTGCGCACATTGCCTCTGCGAAGCAAATGTGTTTCGCTTCGCATCGAGTTTCTCATCGACCAAGAAAGCCCAGTGTCGCTGTCTCTTTGCCGTGTCACTAGCTCCGCTGCTACGAAAATTGTGTATGGTGGATCGGAATACCCTGTATCTTTCTGCTTCGAGTAGGCGTCTCCTCCTTGTATCTTCTGCAATGCACGACTTGAATCCTGCGAATCTCTCTCCCACACTTGCTAGTTGCAGCCGCAACTTCTCAGAGCCGGGCTCGACACCGGGTCCCGCAGAAAGCAGCGTACCTGTGCAAGCTCAGCAGCAAAGCAGGATCCCATTGTACGCTATGCATGAGCAAATTCACTCTTTGTCGAGAACATGACGACACGTAGAGCCTTATTTCGGTTCAGACAGCTTTAAAACAGTTTCTCTTTGGCAGCAGGTAGTGAAACACGAAATCCGGCATTGGCAGATCAAACGGCTTCGCCTGTAGGCGAGCCTATTTCATCGTCTTTACCAACCACTATCCAATACAAATTCATTGCTATGCAGTGTTGTGCAGTAGCTACACAAGCGACTCGTAGTCCACTAGCCAATACAGCCCAACATACCTCCACATTCCCGGGTGGCCGCCCGGCAGCAGTGAAGCACGCCAGCAGAGTTATGTGGATCAAACCCCAGGCCAACAAGAGGTTTCTGGCAGGTGGCGCCAACACCAAATATGTTTCTTTCCCTTGGATTCGTAGATGATTTGCCCAGAGGGGGCGACGACGGCGTCCTGCGTCCAGCCATGTTAAGTCCCTTCAAACAAGAGTTCGCAAAGACTTGCCTCATAGTGACTCCTGGAGAAAGTTTGTATAGCTCTTAAGAACCAAAAGGCCAAGCGAGGTAACCGAAGGTGGAGCTGGTAAAGAGCAGCTCAAGTGCCTTTGCCGTTTAGCCCTCAGCGGGGAAACGAGCAACTCTCGCAATCGAATTGGGCTCTCTTCTACAGCCAGTCTCGTGCACTGCCCGCACTGTCACTTTGTATAGTTGTCCTCGGCAGAGGTGGCTCTAACACCAACTGCAAGGGGCAATAGCCGAGCGCCATGCAGCACAACGGGCGTTGAAATGTCTCTGCGCGGTGCCGACGACAAAGGGACTTCCACGGCAAATCTAGAGCAGATGTGCCCTTCAGTTTGTTCTCTTATTCTTGTTAGAATCACTGAGAACTATTACTACATTTTCATCCCATATTTCAGGATGTGCAGCACGATGCAACTGGAGGGCACCATCATTGCACATGCACATGGGTGGTGCCATTATTGGGGCCCGCCTGGCTCGAGCCACTGCGAAAATATAATAACTGGAAGGACCTCCAACAAGTATGCCAGTTTCAATTTCTTTTAAATAAGTCAGCTTTTCAAATCACATTTGAAATACTATGCGCTTACCAGCAGAAGATGCCAAGAAGGAGCACTGGCCTTTTGCAAATTCCACAGGAATCCTGGGTCGTTTCCAGCCACATGCAAGATCTTTAGGTGCTGCCATGCAAATCACAGTTTCAGTGTATCAAGTATGTTCGTCGATAAGCAGGGGTTCAGTAAGATGTGCACTTTTTAGCTCTCAGAAACCATGGTTCCGCACCCACGGTACTTCACGTGCAGCAGCGTGACGTTGGCAACGAGCAGTCGGTCTTATCTGCTGACCCGCGTGAGTTTCAATGAAGTCAAAATGCTTCCGGTAAGATGTATTCAAAGCCGACGACGTCCCTTCCACTCCTCAGGTCTCTTACACACCGCGGCACAACGGCCTGGCGTGCTGAGCTTGAAGATTGTCGAGGATCCTCAAACATATCAAAGACCCGTCGTTAGCTCTCTATTGAGTCCAAGTAGTTGAGAAGAAAATTCGTGCACAAGCAGCTGTCTATACCCCAGTCTCCGATCTCCGCGGGCACTGCCAGAGGTTCTGCGGCTGCTGGAGGCGGCCTGATGCAGCAAGCATTGCAGGGCAACCGCACATGCAAGCACCTTCAAGCTGATTTTCCCTACACGACGCAACAACACAGGTGATGGTTGAGGGTTTTTCTCCACCTTGAGTAGGCAGTCTGCACGCATGTACGAGTACACGTGCCAACGTCGGACTGTTCATGCTATATCTGGCTTTCATTGAAGTAGCAAACGTTATTGCGCTCCAAGGCGCCAGAAAGAGGATGGATTGACTGATGGGTGGAACACCTGCCTTGCCGCTGCTGTAGCGGGTGCTGTCCTTGTGGCTCCATCGGTTCCCCCTGCTAAGTCATTTATTTCTGCGTGTCCTGTCAATTGCTGTTGCACTTCCCATTGCTTTTCTCGTTTCTTGGTCTCACAGTGCTGGCATGTTTACCTTTGGTTCGTCTTCTTGCTATTGGCGGTCACGAGCAACTATAGCTGCCGCTGCAGAAGGGCGCGGATGGAGCCAGTGTGGTTGGATCTTGCAGCCCGAAGTATAGCAGTAACCTATGCTCCTTAGCAGAAAATACACTGTTTCCCGGCAATCATCGCCCTCTACAACAGCTGCACCGGCGAGAAATCGTTACAGCCGCCGGTGAGTGCTCGTAGGAGCTGGCCGTGGTACTGGTGGTCCTGCTGTACCTGTTATTGCGTGTGTTGTTATTCGTTCTGGTATTCTTAGTGTTGCTGCACTTGGATTCCCAGCAAAATCCGCTTCCTGTCATTCTAAACGGGAGCCCCCTCAACTACTCCTGCCACAGCCACTGCTCAAAGTTGCGTTTTTCATCTTATATAGCAAAGGTGCCAAACATATCTTAGTAAGAAAAACTAACATAAGCTTGATCTGCATAAACGGACTACGGTGGCTTGGATACATATCTACTGATATGTTAACGCCTGCTGTTGAAGGTCCTAAGATCATTTAACTGCACTGTTTACTATAGCTCCTCACACGTTGTCACCTGGCGCGCTGAAGTGAACGTTCACTGTGCGCTTTCGCTCGCAGTGCTCTTGGCCTAAATTGTTTATATAGCTTAATCGAATGTTAATCTTGTCACAATAGTGCTGGTCGTTCTCGCCGAAATGTTATCCTTCACTGCGCATACCGTTGGGCAATGTGTGTCGCACGGTTTGGCTTGGCCGGCGGCTGGTGTGATCGTCGATTACCCTACGAGGGGAACCTCGCAGTGAAACATTATAATGGCTTTAACTGTAAGCGTACCAATCCCGCCCTGCTCGGCAGGTCTTCCTTATACTACTACACTTTCTAATTTTTACTACGCTGACCTTGGGTCGTTTGCGTGGATCTCTACCTCACTGTGATGGCAACAGACCTGTAGGTCGACACTAAATAGTCAAACAAACATTCAAAACAAAACCCCCTGTAGTGGATTCCACATTGTTGCAAGAAAAACAGTGTCCGGTCCCGGTGCCCCGGTGTTCTGAAGGGCACCCCTTCTGGTGCCAGTCGCAAGCCCCGGCACCGTTGCTTCAGTCATTAGACATTTTCTAGCCTAATGAGAAAGATACATGGTTAGTTCCATTAATATTCGCTCAATAATTAAACTTACTCCATGTCAGACGGTCTCTGTTGGTTGCTCCGTTGCAAACCGTGTGTACTGCTCAATACAGTCAAACACTCACTGTGAAAACTGCAAGCAGAACACAGTCCCTAGATATCAACTAGTTTTGGCGTACAATTCCAATTAGTTTGTGTTCCATCATGTGCTGCGTTGTTGCTGGAAGCTCTATTTTCGTCCGCAAGAAGCGCTCTGCGCAGTAACGTAGGTGGCTGGCAGCACTCCGCGGCCGAGCGCCGTGATGTTAAGAGATTGAGATAAACAAACTGTTCTTACTATTTCCCCACCTGTCAATTAGTATTATTTGTAATATATACAGTTTTCCGACTATTCTGTTCGTCCCTGAGAGTCCTGGTTCCATTTTCGTGAGCCTGAACTGTGCCCCACACAACGATGCCCCTTGTGAGGTTTTGCACGGTTGCTCGACCGCCAAGAATTTCCGCCCTGGGCACTGTGCTATGGTTATTTCCCAGAACATGATAACACGTTCCGCTCATTTTGTTTTGAAGTTTGCCCTTGTTTTTGAGTGAAGGACCACAATTCAGCGCGGAACGGCTCCTCCTCTGCATGGATGGGGTCATCTTGTGCGGCAGCGTTGCAGTGTTCCAAAATATCGAGTGTTGTTGTAACTCAACATTGCACAGTAAGCGCATTCCACTCCAAATTTTTATGTTCGAAATGCGCCGATCCCGGGGTATGCCGTTTATATGAAATTTCCGACACCACCGAGCTGAAGGCTCCGCGCTCAATTAAATGCGAACCTGACAAGGTGATCTACAGGAAGTTGCTTGTGGAACATGAGAAGCAGCCAATCCCATATAAAGCAGCCGGATAGCGTTTTTGTATGACTCGCCACAGAATCGCTCTTCAGTAGCATCTCCCTGTACGAATCACTGGTGAGCTCCCCTGCAGCATCGCGGTATGAGGATATAGCGAATTCGACCGGATATCCAAAGCCCGAGGTGAAATTGTTACAGTTGTGAAGCCTTCAAACGAACAGAGGTAAGCATAGCAACCACCTACGACCCAGGGCTTGACATTTTTCTACAAGCTGCTATGCTCCTACTGCTCTTCAAGCGTAAATTCGTGTTTGTCATCCCATGGCAGGAGATACAACTGGATGATTCAGCTCATCAGGTTCACGGAATGCTGGGAAAATTTTACCCAGGCCTCACCACCACAGGCTCAGCCGACAAGTAACGACAGCAAGCTCACAACCTAAATATTTCATATAAGAGGCGGGACCAATGGGAACAACAAAACCACCCACTCTATTTATTATTATTAACACTATTATTGACAAAATTTATTGTTAACCCCAAAGGGTCTGAAGGGGGCGCCGCTCAGGCAGATTGTGTAAGGACCAGGCAACGCGTGAAGGGTGCCCGAGCAAGCTCTAAGCAACTCCCTCCCCCAGCAAAAATTGATGTGACATATTTGGGTCCAGTTGGACCCATATCAGTTGTCACACTGATAAGAACAGATACTACACTTGATCATAGCCAAAAGGCCGAGAAGGTATGGTTGCCGTACACCTGCGAGCCCCCCACCCCCAGGACCCCAGAACCGCGTATAAGCGCCGCGGAAATAAAGTGTCTTTACACCTAAGGCGCAGTTGCTGCGGCAATAATCATTAATCCAGATGTTTCTTGCCTGTTTCGAAGTATATTTCCTCGTGCGGCTCCCCATGATGCGCTTCCGAGTCATTTGTCCTATGCTTTCCTGTAAAGCAAAACTGGCACGGCGACTGTGTCTGCAGCTAAGCGCACATGCCTTTGTTTCGAACAATATTTCCTCGCGAACAATATTTCCTCGTGCGGCTCCCCATTCTGCGCTTCCGAGTCATTTGTCCTATGTTTTCCTGTAAAGCAAAACTGGCATGGCGACTGTGTCTGCAGCTAAGCGCGCATGCCTTCTTTGCTGCCTGTATTTGCACACCAGCCCAATTTTGAGAAGTGCCCTGAGTGTTTCTCCTCCGTCTAGAAAATACTC